AAAATGCTTGGTCATTCCTCGTGTCGACACAGGGACTGCAACAGTTTTGAACTACGTTTCTCGCGTAAAGTTTTTAGTGTGAACTCTAATTTTTTCCCTGGTCTCTTATTTACTACGGTACGGCGAAGGTAGCCGATCCTCAAGTAGGACACTCGGTAAGCTTCACACGCTCGAGACTTTGACAATCTCTTGAATTGAAAGGACGACAGCACCGCTAGAAAAATGAGGCCTCACTCGTACGATGATCGACGGAAGCGTGTTTTTCGGTGCCCGGAAGAACAAAAGCGAGGGTGATTGTTTGGCCCACGACAGCATTTCGTATGCCTGTCCTAATCAACGTAGCGGAGCGTCCGTAATTGGCATTCACAGCGTCGCAGGACAATGCGATTTTGGCATCAAGTTCCCGACTTGTGGGCGATAAATTGGATCTGCCCAAACAGATGGCACGAAAGCAAATGCCGCTCCATTATTTGGCTAAACAGTGAAGCAGGATATGATCGAAAGTAAGTTTCGAGAGGTATCCAAAAGATACAAGACTCGACTGATATCGGCAACTTGCTTTAAACAGCGGAAGCTTGGAGATAGATGCTTCCTACTTCAATGTCTCGAATAGAATAGGTAGAACTTCTGCAGTTGGGACGAGTTATTCAGTAAGAGATAACAACTTTTGATATTCAGACAGATCACTATGGATGACCATTGTAAAATTATAGAGGATATCATTTCCGGCTTCAAATGACCTTCCATTTCGTTGGTAATTCCAATGTAGTTGGATGACACTGCCGTTCTATTGCCGTATACAGCAATTTCATGCGGGATAAATTGCTACTCCAGAAGGAAGTTACCGAGATTCTTGTCATGATGGCCATTATTTCTTCGAAATTACCTGCTTCAATTACCATGATAGCCATAATTAACTGCTTAGCACTCCAGAATCCAAGTCGGTTGCTCATGTCACAACCACTCCAACCATATACCAACTATATATACATAATACTTCACAGGGATGTGGGATTGATATTTTTTTTGGCTGAAGCAGTCCATCTAAGAGATTGCTTAGTTGGGAAAAATAACTTAAATCAAAGTTTACATGCACGATTTGCTTGGTGCACGTCCATGAACTAAGGAGAATGTATATTCCTGGAGCTCGATCCTATATCAGAGGAAGGAACATTGATTATGCTGGTCATGAACGGCTTCCGGGTATAGCGGTGCAGTGGTCCACTGCGACCTACTGGCGTCAGCTAGTGAGAGTATTTGGCTGGAATGAGCTTACAACTTTTGGTTGTTTGGTGCGAGGGCCGTTTATGGATATTCTTCTGTTAGCACGTGCGAGTTTACTGACGAGTTATCGTTTTATTGGTATTGATGACCTAATCCAAGGCAAGGTTCAGGGTTCTCACATGTGACTGGAATAATAGATATTTGTACTCGGAGACTTTCACGGTATCAAGATGTCAGCTCGTTACAAATATGAGCTGGATCGTGAATTGAATACATTGTTATAAACAGTTGTTTTTTACGGCACCAAGTCTTCGGAATTACTTGACTTTCCCCTAAATTCCTCATTGTTAAATACTTCGAACTGAATAAAAATGAAGAACTGAACTTCGTTCTATATGTATAGTGAAGTCCAGGGGTGTGCTACCTAGGAAATGGTAGCTTGAAGTCAATCCCAACGGTCATAAATTCTGTACTTAAGACAAGCCCTCGTGCACCACATCATCAGCAAAGGTCAAGTAAGTCGTACACTTCATGATGTACTCTGGCCTCTCCGAATGCTGATTAGGCACGGCAAAAACTGGTGTCACATAAAGCATTACATTCTCTAGAGTCGTTATTTTGTCCGAGGTAAAATAGTGACCGATCTAGCGCTCTGTCGTAACTAGGATTTGAGGATAAGGCTTAGCGTTGACTGAACATGTGGATAGTTGGAAAGACCGTCTTATGCAGCCTCGGATTTTAATCTTTAGACTCTTGTCAGTTTTTTAACGTTTATAAGAATTATGTGCACTCAAAATACATGATGGTTTTAAATACCAAAATTATCTTAGTCGTGTGCTGGTCAAAGTCAAATGCATTAAAATTTTTATTATTTTGCGATTAAGAAATGTAAGCCACACTGCGTAAGCGATTCAAATAATGCAATGATATAATATAAATCCCGACAAAGAAAATGAAATTTATATTTTTATTGTAATTGATATTAACAAATTTTTTGGTTAAACAAAAATTGCTCACTTAATCGTCATGTTTTGTGTCGCCGTAACGTGACTTTTATACGGAACTCAAGTAATTAAATACAAATGTTGGCTTAATTCCAGCATTATTCTAGTACCCACTACGAATGGGCTTTATTCCTAATTTTCGGCATTGAACTTGTATAATATCGGTACAGCAGCCAGAGGCGTCAATGTCCCCGTCAAATTGATCTATCTGATCCGGGCTCAGCTTCCCTTCAAAGTCAAAACTGAGCTTACAGTCAAAACTGAGCTTACAGTCAAAACTGAGATTACATTCAATACTGAGCTTATTGAGTCAAAACTGAGCTTACAGTCAAAACTGAGCTTACAGTCAAAACTGAGCTTACAGTCAAAACTGAGCTTACAGTCAAAACTGAGCTTACAGTCAAAACTGAGCTCACTGCATGTGTTGCACTTCAAAGTTCATAGAGCACTTGCACTGTGCTTATAAAAAAAGCCAAGGCAATTTCTTGCATACAAGTTCATCAAAAAGTGACCGCAGGCCAATCAGTTCTCCAGCCACGATCCACATGTTACAAGATGTCAAGCATGGATACGATAATACAACAAAAAAATTAAACCTTTTAATTATTTCCTGCATCGTTTCAGTGTCGAAACTTCTACCAGACTGTCCTATATAAAATAATCGGATACATTTCATTTAAGTCTGTAGGTATGAGACTTCTTTCACTTACAACTTAATAATGATATTTAATCAATATTCGTCCCGAAGGAATATTCTATTCACTCATTCATAAATAAATTGAGAGCACTTTTTTGTTTTAAAATCATAATGTTTTTACTGCTAAATCTCCATATTTGAATACTTCAGTGCGAATAATATAAAAACAAAAGGTTGCGATGCAGCGTAGAGGGCAACAGCCTGCAGGACTGACAATGCATGCATAGTAACCGGTTGAAAACCACTGGCATGGCTTGTAGATCACGTTGCTGAGCAGCCGGTTTATATTGGCCCAACTTTTGGCCGCGCTTTTGGTTGTAAGCCGCCGCACTTTCCCAAGCAAGATTAGGGATAACAAATGTATGAATTTTTTGTTGGGAAGTTGATGCACGGTGACTTATCGGGAGCGGAGGCTTCATTGTGAATATCGCTATTTGTGCAAATGTTTGCTGTAGCGTTTTGAGTATTGCCAGCTCTCTGTTATCTGCCAACTATATAGAAGCAGCTATCTGCCAACTGCTTCTCTGTTAAACGTCTAATGATTAGCGTACAAATTTCGAATTTTGTTGCAGGCCCAATATCTATTCCGCCCCATTCCTGCAGTAAGAATTGTTTTAGTATCCTCCGCGTATCGCAGGACTAGCGGGTAAAAACCTTATAGAACATTAAATGTAGTGCATCTGGCCCGCTACAACGTTAGATTGTAAAATGACAGAATTAATTACAAATTTTTCATCCGCGCAGCAGTTCAGGATCCTTCCTGACCATCCTAATACGACTTTTAAATGTGTCACGTCTCATGCGCGTGCGAGGTGGAGTCTTTTTTTGGATGCCCTAAGCGAGGAAGAATCTTCGTTCCAAGCCGTACTGGACTGGTTTGAGTTCAGCGTTGTTCGCAGCTGCTGTGAGGATGCAGCGGCTGCAATACTCCCATGTCCTTATTTTAAGGATAGAATACGTTTCGCGTCTTTCTTTAGAGTATTTAATGTAACTATCATATATTTGCATTACATTATCACGTATGATGTATTGATGAAACAAGACACCTCTACAACTAAACTTTTTATTGCTGAATCTAAGCATTATATGACCTTTGATTCATTTCTATTTTTGTTTATATCAATTGTGACTTGTGAGCAAATTATGTTTACAAAATATAATTATGATGTGAAGTAATAGTTTTGGTATTATGTGCAGCACTTCTGCTACGGATAGTTCAGCAAGAAAAGCAGGGAGAGTGCTTGTATAGATGCAAAGAAGATGGCTGAGAGATAAATGAATCTTTCCTGGTCGCAGCAAAAATTGCTCGTTAATTTGGTCAAATTGCTCCTCGTTGGCAATAGTGACCGAAATATGGATTGCCCAAACACAGTATAATATAACTGTTAAAACTGAAAAGGGACAATGTTTCAACCAGTAAGTTTTATTCTGCTTAAGACGCTTCGACATGGTAGACGTGCTGTCACTTTAATCAATTCCAGTTGGACTCCTACAAATGATCGAGTACGAGTTTGTATGGCGTTCATGGGGTGTTCATGTATTATGACGATTGCGCCGGTCTGATCACAAAAGAATAAAGTCTTGTTGTAAAAGTGAATGCCTGATAAAGTTGTCAATTGAAAGATACCACGCTGGAAGAGCGAATCATTTCCATCAGGCAGCAAATTAAAACGACATTAATTATCAACGTTGCAAAAATTAAATTGAATTGCGATGAGCAAATGTGCGATTATTCTAATTTAAAAACACTTGCCAATAATATTGAGTGAAATTATTACAAAGAGTTATATGACGCTGTTTGAGCTTTCAATCCAAGTGAACAACGATCGAAATTCGAAACGATGTATAAGGAAACGATGGCACGGTGGTGTGTTTTGTTTCAAGGATTTGCTAACGTGAGTTCACTCTCCTGCAATACAAGCACTTTATAAATTCATAACAAGCTAAAACATTGAAAATTCAGACAGAGGAAGAATTCCTACAGTGAAGCTTGAATTACAAACTCTCACGTAACTGGTCCATGTATATAATACCCGGATAGAAGACTTCAAAAAATATGTAGAGATAATTCTCACCTGAGTTCGAGTGTGTTTGTGCCATGACTGTGAACGCGAGGCAGAGAGCAACCAGAGACACATGGATCCAAATGTTAGCCATCGTTAGAAGCGATCTTTATCTTCTCTTCACCAAACCAAGACAATAAATTCAATACAAGTTGTTTGGTCTTCGTGAGTCTTATGTTGCGCTGTTCTTTCCTTTCACTCAAGGCAAAAGTAAACTAACAGAACAACAATAAATTGAATTACAGATCGTGTGCTTCGAACGAATGACTCAGACGACACTAGTTCCACTCAATGTTCTCTCTTCTGCCGGCGTTGCTAACGAACTCAACCACGTTTCGCGTCAAACAGACGACAGTTAACGTGCTCAAGCCCTTATATATCAGCACCGAGGACTTCCTTACGTCACACGTTATCTGTGACCACGGAGATTTTCGACACGTTGTGTGCCTGATCGTAACCTTGCCTTACCTACAAGACAGGCTATTGGCTAGCGTCCGCAAGCAGGGGCGGAGTTAAAGCGTTATGTTAGTTGGGCAGCCTTGGCGAGCTTGCGTCACTTACACGTAACACTGATCAGGGTCAGTGCTTGAACTTGACCGGGAGAACGTTTGGCTTCCTGCGAGAACGTTATGCCTGAGGGATGACCGAAGGATCCAATGATGATGACATCATAAAAATCAACATATATCGCTCTTTGAACTTTATGAAATACAATGATAATAAAAAACAGACATTTTTATTTCGTAAATTCAAAAGTGGAGCCTATAGCATCGCGCTGCATTTTCAAACTTGAATAATCGTAAGCAGCGAGTGCAGAAGTGCTTTATCCCAATCGTGGGCCATAAGTGCTTTATTCATCATGAAAAGTGTTCATGTGAAAAAATTTCAAACATCGCCTCGTCCGAATGAGTCATTGTATGAGTAGAGCTCGTGGAAATAGTTATCATTTGTCCAGCCTCAGTAGAAGCCTTCGCAACACAACGCCCGCAGCAAGCCCGATCCGATCAATGGTCATGACACGAGTTGGATCGACACGAATCTATCCGATTTATCTGCTTTAGTCTAGTACAGTAGAAGAGATAGCTTAAAATTTTGTTGCTGGATGAGGGCTTGAGTTAAGATTTACTGACGATAATCAGAAATTAAATAATTGTTTACTTGTAATACTGAACATTTTCAAATTTCATGCGAGAGTGCGAAAGGGCATGTAGATCTACTGTCATGAACAGTGATAGGCTGTTATCAATACACGCCAACAATACGCGAGTTTTATTTTTTTGTCCTCGACCATAACTTTTCTTGCATAAATACTTATAGGCTCCCATGCATTGTACCAAAAATGAAAGCCTGGTTCGGAAGAGTGAGAGCTCGATTGCGTCAGCAATGATGGGAAGCCGAAGTGATAACGCCGTTAGACGTCGTCATCGTGGGGATATGGGAGAAGGGCAGACGTTGGCAATGACATGCCTCTATACCGAGCGCATGTTCGGAAGAGGCCCAATTCAAGCCATGACCTTGCGAAGTTGCACGCACTTCCGATGGTAGGAGGCGACATCACCACGAATCTTGCTGGGAAGACGGATATGGTGAGAGTTTCTACTGATGTCCACTTCTGCGCACACGCAAGTATATGTCACTAACTCTGTACCAGTGCCAAAAATTCATGATAAAGTCATTACCAATGAAAATGATTCATCACCAAGTCTGTACCAGTGACAAAAGTTCATGATAAAGTCATTACCAATGAAAATGATTCATCACTAACTCTGTACCAGTGACAAAAATTCATGATAAAGTCATTACCAATGAAAATGATTCATCACCAAGTCTGTACCAGTGGCAAAAATTCATGATAAAGTCATTGCCAATGAAACTGATATATCACTAACTCTGTACCAGTGACAAAAATTCATAATAAACTCGTTACCAATGAAATGATTCATCACTAATTTTTCCCCAATGACATTAATTCCGTAGTTTATTTTTAATTAAATCTAAGTCGGCTTCTTTGTTTCTTCACAAACGCAAAAAATTGCCGGAGCAGTAATTCCCATGAGAGCTCAAGAGTCGCCACGAGCGTGACTAAAACTATATTGGCGACTCGTAAAATTAAAACTAAAATTAAACTCCAGTACAGGGATATAAACTCCCAAACAGAACATCTATCAGTTTCCATATCGAAAGCATCGCCAAACGTGTTTTTTGAACAAACTGGACAATTTCGGTAAGAAGCGAAAAAGCTTAAAAGCAGACAAAAACGTTATTGGTGCCCACGCTACATGAAAATGTTGCGGCTATAAAACTGTTCCTTAAACCTCAATACAAACTCACGCTTGCTCCTCATAGAGAAGGGCTAATTAGGTGCCAAAGTTGTTTGCACCCTGATCTTTATTGATGCAATTTTTCCTATTTTCTTCTAAACCATTTTCACTCTCGCCCTTCTTGCAAATGGTAGCAGGATGAACACTCATGCGTGGAGTCGAATTTGTGACCGCGGTAAAATTGCGGTAGCGTATGCGCCACAACAAAGTCAACGAATTGCTTCATATATATTTAATTTTTTACCGCAATTTTGGTGAAAATACAAGTCAACATACTTCAGCGAACTTTACAAGCCGAGTATATATACGAAAGTATGTATTAAACTTTTACCAGCCGAGTATAAATACTTTCAGAATTTCAGAGTTGTACCTTCAGAGTTTTCAAATTCAGAGTTGTGAATTCAGAGTTTTATTCATCTTGTTGTATGATTCGACCACGTCATCAATGTTATAGTGATATCTCTCTGCAAGCGCTTGTTTTTTTCGCGACGAACTTCCATCAGAGGACTTGCTTGGTGGCCTTTAGAGTCCAATTGAGTTTCAAGTCTCGCACAAGAGCCCTAGCTTATCTGTAAGAGGATCACGTCAACTCGCCAGGATTCCCATTGCCCAAGAACAATGGCGATGAGACAATGGTCCATTACTTCACTTGGAATGCGTGCATTGCATCCAAGATTAATGAGCAATTACTATCGAACTCAATAAATCACAAATATAAAAGACGGTAATAAATCAAAATAAAGATCATTTTCCCTCTCCATTAGAAATGTAAAAGTTAAAAGTTTTCGATATCGACGGTAATAAAAGAAAATTTTCGAAATTTTTGAAAACCTGTTCCATATTAGGGATTCTGTCGTCAACGCCATCCTGTACCCAGAACTGATGAACATCAAAGCTTCTTAAAATTATATTCTTATTCCCAATTTCATCTAAAATTTCTTATGCAATACAAGATAATGCTCAATTATAATACTAATTGCAAAAAATAAAGAAAATCATATTGTAATCGAAATCCGTCATCTTTGTGACTGATCGATCATCCACAATCCAATTCAGTAGAGGCAATTATTTTCTATCGTGCACGCAGGAGGTGCGCTAGTCGAGCGAGCAGGTTAGAGCAGCGCTAAGGTAAGAAGAGCGCTAGTCGAGCGAGCAGGTTAGAGCAGCGCTAAGGTAAGAAGAGCGCTAGTCGAGCGAGCAGGTTAGAGCAGCGCTAGCGAGGCTACCAGGAACAAACACGCAGGTTGGATGTAGAGCTGCGATGCCCTGCTGCCGTTTCCGCGTGAAAGTGGCCGGCCTTGCGAGGCCTCAGCGACGGAGGGTCAACGCTTCCCCAACGGCCTTGTCTTCCTGCGCTGCAGGCGAGGTAGCGTTCAGGACAGAGGAGGAGGTTCTTGCAAACTATCCAACAGAACCAAAATTTTGAAAAATATATAACGAGGTTATAATTGTCAATTTACATTGTTGACATTATAAAATTTCGAAAAATTGTGTTCCTTGGTGATAGGAATTCGAAAAATTGAATGAAATGGTAAGTTCTTGGGCTAAATTAAATCAATGTAAGGCGTTAATAAATCTATGAATTTATATCATATTCTATCGCCTATTTCTACAGAGTCTACGCGCATGTTTGCCGTTCTAACGAGTGCTATCATTTTTGAAAAAGAAATTATTGCTCGGTAATCCATTTAGTAATGCGAGTTTTCAAAATTAGTATATGTGTTCATTTTTCATTCAAAGCAATTATGAAATTTAAGCTACATGGATATTCAGTGTCATCTTATCATTGGAGATGGTATAAGATGCCTATATTTGCGCAGTGATATATCGAAGACTCGCGTTTCCTGGTATATGCATGATGCGAGACCCTGACCGCATTTTAAGCTACAGGTTCAAGAATGCGATGGGCATTCTATAGGACCCTGGCCTTGTCGTAGAGATGCAGGAGCGCAGCCCCGGAGTGATTCAGCTCATAGGCTGGATATCAGCTGTATTTCATTCAATGTCTTATCTTGGCCGCACTGCAATACTCAGTATCCGGCCTACTGAATTGGAGGATTTCCTTGGCGCCTCAACATCCGTTTTACTGGCACCAGAAAACTTGCATCAATGAATCATAAAACCATTGAAAGAACTAAGAACGGACAGCGCTTTTTTTTAATGAGTTGAGAAATTCATAGTTAAATCTACAAATTATATTGTAGGTGCCAAATTGACCCAAAAATATCTAAGGAATTTTAGTAAAAATTGATTTTACATTGAATCGGCTTGGGAGAAAATTTTCACGTTGATGGGATGTCAGGTAGTCGTGAAGTTTTTAATATTGACAATTCCTTAATTTCTTTTTGTGTACGTAGCATAAACCGTAAGCCTATGTAACAACAAAAAAAGTTATTAAACAAGTTTCCATGCATAATGCGCTGTTATTAATAATTGATAAATGAAGTGTGAGCAAAAAATGCACTTCTCAATGAGTGCGCAGAATATTATGAGCTTATGTTATTTACTGAAATAACTATTTATAGGGGTATGCAATATTTGCATCTGAAGTTCTAAGTAACAAATATAACGCAATATTTTGAAGTCCAACGTCATTTTATACTAGTGCATGGTAGCTGAATTAATTACACAATAATTTAAAAAAAATTAACACTCATTGGGTCTTTAATTCTTGATCCCTCGCGGTACGCTCGGAAATCTTGGAAATTTTCACGTTCTCCAAAGCTTCCCAACATTTGTTCCATCTTTCCACTCTTATGTTTAATATTGATTTTTTAGAATGAATCATCAGTTGAATCTTCGAATTCTGATGACAGAATTCGTTCCTCGTAAATCTCACTCCCATTCTATGAGCCTAAATCAGGAGTAAGTACGGAAGCAGATGTACTCCTATAGCAGATGTATGTAAATTGTTCTCCTATTAATCATAAACATTTTACTTTCTAACAACAGTCGCCCCAATAAAAAGAGTTTATATTATTCGTATCAGGAATTTGTGTTCAATATAAGCATAGGATTGAGTAGAAACGCGACGAG